GTGCGTGCACACGAGAGCGATACGCCGTTGCCGATCCGTTAGATCGGAGAAACCTTCGCAATCGACCGCCGCAACGACAACGACAACGTTGACGAAGAGGAGGAGGAGGAGGAAGAAGAAGAGGCGCGTAAAGTCGCACGCGTCGTACTACTTCCTCCTCCGGCCATATTCGCAACTGCCGACCGCCTTTTTCTCGCCGGCGTGGAAATTGCGGCATGCATGTTCGCGTGTTTTTCCGCACGCGGCCACCCACGTCGCGGGACGCGCCGCGGTGACGACAACTCAACTCGCGTCGTGTTAACAGTGATCGTTTTAACCGGTAAATCGAGCGCTCGACGTCGCCCGAGAGCGTTCACGATTTATTGCTCGCGAAATCGCGCGAATCGCCGCGATTCCGCGCGCAGGCCGACGTCGATTCGCGCAGCGAATCTTCCACGGAGATGCGCGCGATGAATTGCGAATTCGTGTTCGACCGCGTCAATTTTCGTTACACGTCGCTTGCTCTCCAAAGTACAATCGGTGTATTCTTCATTGAAATTCCTCACTGATGATTCATTTGCAAGTATAGCGCTGCAGTCAGCGAAATCTCGCTGAGAGGATCAAACAATAGCGAGGGTTGTTACCACTACCGATAATTTGCTGACACAGACAGTTCTATCGCATGCAACTTGCATGGCAGCAATTTACTTTTAATTAACCATCACTATGAATGCAGAAAGTTGAATTGTGTAAGATAAAAAAAGTATCAGTAACTGGATACGCATTTAACCTCTTAGACACTCTTATTGTTTTGATCCTTAAATACGAATATTTTTCCAATAAACGCTAACAACATTTATTTTTATGCTGATATAAAATATTTTAAATAAAAAATATACATTTTTTTAAAACCTTAGGTTTTCATCAGAGCAATTGTTTATTTTATATAAACAAAAGAATTTAGATTTAAGTAAATATGCTATTACTACTCACTGCGCGGATAAATATTTTTTATTTTTCAGGTACTTTTTCTGTCAGTGTATATACAGTCAATAACTGTTGTCATCTTGAATATCTTCATAGTAAAAAATATATCTTCAGATCTTCAGATTTTCGAAGTTATTGTATTTAGAAAAAAGCTTCTTACGGTGATTATGCTTGTTTTCTGAGAAGAATAGCTTTGAAGATCTTCACCTTTGATTTTTTCTTCGATGTGGTAATAATTATTGATAAGAATGCCAAACTATCTTTCGTCTATCTGAGCGATTGACACGTATTTCCGTCGCTCTCTAACGTCGCGTGTTTCACGACGCTTTCGCGCGTTCCGCTTGAACGCCGACAAAATCGTAATACCGCGTCGCAATCTCCGGGCATTTGTCACTCGGCGGATAATCACTCGCCGCTCTTGTTCGCGGCTGCTTCCGCAGGTAGAAACGAGCGCAAATGAAGAACGCGCCCTCGCGCGCACCGCATCCTGTGTCGCCACTGACGGAAAGTAAATCGCGCGTATTCTCGCGTGCGCGTTCTTTTTTGCGCGCGCTCTGTGCGCGGCCGATGGAACGTGACGACGACGTGTCGCGAAATTGGCCAGCATCCGCGAATTCGCACTCTCTCTCGGAGAGACACGAGAGCCAGAGAGAGAGAGAGAGAGAGAGAGAGAGAGAGAGAGAGAGAGAGAGAGAGCTCGACTTTAATCCAGCCATGGGCCGACTACATAACGCAATTGAATCCGCGTGGCCGCCACGCACTTTCGTCGGCGCCGGAGGGATTATGGCCTCGGGCGTTTAACACGAAACGATATATATCTCCGATGCTGTAAGGCACCCAAGTGAATTTATCGCTATCTCGCACGAAGGTGTATATACCTCACGCTGTTACACGGCGAAAGGGCCGCGACTTTTCGCGCGCGAGGGGGCGGCTAAGGTAATCTCGAGTTACTCCGGAAGTATTCAACGCGGATTAGTTTACTGGCCGGTGACAGCGGCAAAAATCGCGGCGCAACAAAGTGCACGGTTGAATCGTGAACCTCGACCGTGAGTGAGCGTGTAGCCGGAGGCGCGTATGCGTTTACCTAGATGAATTATGTTTTCATTCGGGACGCGCGCGGCGCGCCGAGGAACTATACTGGTAAATGACACGTCGGCTCAGGCATTCCACGCGAATTTGAATAACGGGAGTACAATGACGGCAGCCGCACATAACGTTACCGCGAAAAGAAGTATTTCGACAAGCGCTCTCTTGCGGGATTCCTCTCCGACCTTCCGCTACGAATTCTTAACGAGATCGCTATACTGGCCTGGACGCGAGGGAATCCGAATGGATTTCAGGGGGCAAGGAAAGGAGACGACCGAACGGAATGCGGATTTGCGGTAGTTTTATCGCGCGATTCTTCTGCCGAGCAAACATTCACCGCGATTACGCTGAAAAGAGGATCTTCTGGTCGAAACGAAAATTCGCTACGCTGGATCATAATTTGGTCAGAATGAAATGAACCAAATATCTAGTCTAGAATTTGGTTGGATTAACCAGATATCTGGTGAAATATGAACGAAAGTTAACAAGGTTTTTGGTTAAGCAGAACCTGAAGTTGTTCAATTTGAACAGTTGTAACATTTGTAAGTTCCGGTTAACTAGAGATCTTGTTTGGTTATCGGAATCTTATTAATTTGAACAGAATTCTGGCAACCAGAATTTTCTTTTATTTCGTCAGGCATTTGTTTATTTCAATCAAATAATTTTCTTTTTGTGTTTACAAGGAACACTTAGCTATCCCTTTTTCAACGTTTCATTCAATAAATATATATAAACAAAACAGATGATTAACATAAGCGTTGAGTCAACTTGATCCAATGTTCCCTAAAAATCTCTCGTGAAAATGTAATGATAATTCGACAAGATTCGACTTGAAAGATTAAAATAGATCGATGCACCTAAAAAAATATAATATCCTTAAAATTTTAGAACCCAGAATTCCTTTGAAAGAGAGAATATTCTAAGTATTCTACAATATTTTTAAAGTTAGAGAAATTTTGTCTCTTATCTGCAAAAAAAGTCTTGTCCTTAATAGAAATTTCTCTTCTAGTGAGAGGGCATTCCGTGTATTTCAGATAAATATTCGCTTTTGATTAAAAAGAAGCTGGAATAATATCTAGCAGATATCCGATTAATAATCCACTTCGTTACGATAGAAATTTCCTTTTGGTAAGAGCTCTCGCTTAGAATATCGAATTGCAGGAAATAGCAACTCGTAACTGGAGTTCTTTTTTTTTTATTTCGACGAGTAACGAACTGCGCCTCGCGCTGATGCAACAAACGCATCACTGAATCGCGCAGCCACGAAGGAGATTTAATCCTTCGCCGCTGTATCTTCCTGCATCGCCGAGACTTATAGAAGGATGCGGAATTGCATCGAAGATGGTTATACACTTCACTTGAGCGCGCGCGCGCGCTAAGGTGAATTTCAGTGACGCGTAATCTAATCGAGTTATAAATAAATCGTGGGTTGCGGTGCAGGGGATTCGCATCGATTTTGCCTCGATACGATTTCACTCGCGGCTCCGTTCGTGAATTCAGCATCGCTCATCTCTCTCGGGCCGGTGATTATCTCGGCGCCAATTAGATTGTTATCGCTATTACCTGAACGTCAAGTTAACCGCGCGATTATCTCGCCACTATCGCGGACGTGGCGGCGAAGGAACGCACATGACGTCATAGACGTCGGAGGTACGCGAAACGTCAGAATTACCGCCTGTTGCGTTTGTCCCGACGTGAAACACACTTGGTACATGATGCATCCTCTGCAGGAGCTCATCATTCCTCAGGTGCTCTCGCTCAGAGAGTCCGATTCCCTTCCACAGACGGCGATCTACGAGCGACCTGCGCGAATGCCAATGAGAAGGACGCGCGTAACGCAGCAATATCGACTACGCGTTGGTTATATACCTACGCGCTTGAAGAGTTTATTCATTTAAATCACGATACTTAAAATTATACAAAATTATTGTTCAGAAAGTGAAGTAAATATAGAAACATGTAATTTTGTTCGATAAATAGCGAATTTATGAATAGCTCCTTAATGCGCTACTGAAAATGTTTCCCTTGGGCGCCCTAAAAATACACCTTTGGTGAATAAAATCCTTAAGAAAGTCGCATAATTGAGAGCAATTAGAAGAAAAAAATTCGGACGTGGCGGTTAGAAATAGAGGATAGGATGCATTAAAGTTCCTCAAGTCAAACTTGGGACACTGTTTACCATTTGCAAGAAGGAAGTAAGAGAGAAGTTGCGTGTTTCGTCATTTTAATCTTAAGGTACATTCACACCTTAGCAGAGAAGCAGAAGCAGAGAAGCTGCTGATCAAGTGGTAGTCGACAGTTTCTGTTTTTTTACCAATGCGACTTCTGATTGGCTTCTGCTTTTATGCCAAGGTGTGAATTCTCCTTTAGAGTTTCTCTCTCATTTCTCTCTCACTCGCACTCATGGCATTCCTAAAGATGACGGACAGGATGCGGATCAATCAGAAGTATCATCATATTTTGTTTTAACTCGAACTAGAGGAACTCTGGGACGCACGATCGGGCGAAATGTGTCAGTCGTTCAACTTCAGTCACTTTTTGCTGAGCGTAACTAATTTGCATGCTCAATATCGTGTACGCGTGGTTCGCTAGCGATCAGTACAGTAATGATAGATGGCAATAACAGTAATAATAATCTAACGGCTTCCCGCATACTTATTTTGTATCTTAACGTCTTATTTAATCTTCTACGATAAATGGCACTTTGTGGTACTTTCTATGCAGATTATTTGTCAATTATTCGAGCATGTGGAAATATTAACTAATACACAGAACCGTAATTAATTATTGTATCGCCTGAGAAATTAATATCCCCGGAAATATAACCTTAGACAAAATCTATAGTCGAATCTCTTGATACTTCCATACCGAGTTCTTACCAGCAAGTTCGAAATAGAGCAATTTCTGTGTATCATTGTAACTAATTAGAAAAATATTATCTGTTTTAGATCAGATGGAGTTTGTAACCGTGGCGGAAGGTGTCTGTGATTTCGGTGATTGCGGTTGCAGTACCGAAGGATTCGGTTCGGGCCAAGCAAAGTCGCCTCAAAGGTTTGTATACACATTCCCTGTATTACTTCGTTTAACTTTTTGCAATTGAAACCTAAGGTATTTCGAAATAAAAATCGTTGAATTTTGATCGCAATGATCCGACTCACTCGTGTGCGCGCACTTATTCGTTAATGTAGACCATTAAAACTAATTGACAACGTTATCTTTATGTTGCAGGATCGAAAGCAGGATGCAAGCGACTTTGAGCTGCCAACGTTCGGTGAGTGAAAAAAGTTTACAGATATATAATAAATACATTCTAATGTGGCAAGCGTTCGTAAAACTAGGCAAATCGATTTAATTTGATCGTAGATTTTTGCACTTTGAGTTGCTTCCATGAGAAGCTAAGACATGAAGAAAATTTATATTTTCTTATTTGAAAAATATTTTATGTTAATACAAGTAAACATGTCATTAGTACTCACTAAAAAAATATTTTTCATTTCTTAGATATTTTTTCTCTCAGTGCAATTATTTTTTATGGATCTAATACGAACTGTATCTTTGAAAAATGATTGAAATATTGCATTACTTATAATTATATTTCCTTGGTCAAGAAATTGAAGACTCATTAATAATTATTTGAGTTACGCATCGTGATTTGCCGCCTTTACTCATGCCTTTATGCCACGTATCGCTATCTCTTTTAAACGATCAACCGTTGCACATTATTTCGCCTTCGCTTTTATGCGAATATGTGAAAATTATAACTGGCTATTCGGAGACGGAGTTGTTTTCGACTATGTAAACGTTAGACTGACCCCTCTCGTTAGTAGGGGGACTCACGATGACTCACGACCTCGGCCCCTAATTAGTAGGTTGCCACTGATTGCTCCGGGTGGATAGACTGCCATTGTTTAGCGCGTTTAATGACTGTTTTGCCGCGGAGAATATCCCGACCTCGACCTTTATACCTTCGTTTCTGTTTCGTCGTATACTACTTAACGTACCAGCGATGATCTTCAATCATGTAAAGTGACGTTTCATTGATGGCGCGAAGAGAATGAGGACGAAGCGAAAGTCATTGATAATGTTATCCTTTCTATATAGTCTCCTCTCGGGACACGTTACTAGCTTCAATCTCGATTTCCTCGACTTAGAAATATATGTATGTGTATATATATATATATATATATATATATATATATATATATATATATATATATATATATATATATATA